AGAACCTCCATCCAACCGGGATGTGTCACCCCGGGACACGATCCCCCCAGGACGTGTCACCCCCACAACAGGGACCCCAAGGAGGAAGGAACTCCCTGGATGTGCCCCCCAGAACAGAACCGGCACCGCTCCCAACACAAACGGCCTCTTCCTTCTGCTGCGGGAAAAATGAAGTGAAAGCGCTGGGGGGGCACAGCTGGACACCTGCATCCCCCACAGCAGAGACCTGGAAACTTCTGGAAGCTTCCTGGGGTGCCACTCCCAACCACGAGCACCCCGGGTCTCCCCAAAATCTGACACCCAGGGAGGGAGCTGCAACCTCCGTGCCCACCCAGCCACTGCCCATCCCTGGGACCCCCATTCCCCTGCGACCCCCAGCATGGGACCCCCCATTCCTTTGGGTCTCCCTGTCCGGGGACTCTCAGTCCTCAGGATCTCCATTGCCCAGGGCCCACCTTCCCTTCATCCCAGCCCGTCCCAGGGACCCCCATTCCCCCGTTCCACGGGCACCCCCATCCCTGGCCGTGCATCCCGGCCCATTCCCAGGCACCCCGACCCCCGGGGACCCCCTCCTCATGATCCCCATTCTCTGAACCCCCATTCCCTCGGAACAACCTTCCCAGGAGCTCATTCCTGAGCTACCCCTTCCCCTGGACCACCCATCCTTCATTCCCCGCCCTCCCTGATTGTCCCGGTCCTGGGAGCACCCTGTCCCCAGCCCTGTCAGTAACGCTGTCCCCAACCGTGTCCCCACCCTGTCCCCACCCTGTCCCCAGCCCCACGTGGGGACGAGAGCTGACCGCGCTTCCTTCCTCTTGGGCCCAGGAGCCGCCAGGCAGGGCACAGGTGGCCGTGGCAGCGAGGGACAGGCAGGCCGGGTGGCCGGGGACAGCGGCATGGCCGCGAGGGTGGCGCTGCTCGTGTGGGGTGAGTGGGCCGGGGATGGGCCGGGCTGGGGCAGAGAGCGGTGGGGAGGGGGCCCAGGGGGGCTGCGGGGTCCCCTGAGGTCGCCAAGGGCAGCAGAGGCAGGGCAAGAGGTGAGCGGGGCCGTGGGGTGGCCGTGGGGACAGGAGAGGGGACAGGAGAGGGGGGACAGGAATGAGGGGTTTGGCACCTTGGGGCTGGGGCAGCTGTGGGGACACAGGGACAGGGACACAGGGACACAGGGACACAGGGACACAGGGACAGGGACACAGGGACACAGGGACACAGGGACACAGGGACAGGGACACAGGGACACAGGGACACAGGGACACAGGGACACAGGTAACTTGGGGACACAGGGATGTGGCCGTGGCGCTGGCGGGGGTGAGCTGTGGCAGCACGGGGTGGCCGCGCTGTCCCCATGGCCGGGAGGTCCCCGGTGTCCCCATGTCCTGCCCGGGCCCGGGCTGGCCGCGCTGTCCCCGTCGCCGAGGGCTCGGTGCCGCAGCGGTGTCGCCACGGGGCCAGCTCGGGGCCAGCCCCAGAGCCCGGCTCCCGCTGCCGCTGTCCCCGCGCTGCCAGCGCCAGCCAGCCGTGTCCCTTGTCCCTTGCAGCCCAGAGCCTCGGCCTCGCTGGTGAGTCCTCGGGGGATGCCGTGTCCCCGCGCCGCTGTCCCCAGCCCCGCGCTGGCCCTGCCACGCTGCTGTCCCCTGTCACCCGCAGCTGCCCCGAGCCCGCAGCTCCTCGTGGAGCCCCCCTGGAGGCCGGCGGTGCTGTGGGACCGGGTGACACTGACCTGCCGGGGCTCGGGGACCGCCGGGGACACCACCTGGTACAAGGACGGGCGGCGCTGGCGGCAGAAGGGACCCGAGAATGTCACTGTCACCTCGAATGGCACCTACGAGTGTTACAGAGCCGGCAGCGGGCGCAGCCCCCCCGTGACCGTCTCAGACGGTGAGCGGGGTTTGGGTGTCCCCAGCCCGGCAGCCGCGGGGACCCCGAGAGCTCTGGGGGGGCCGCTGGGTCAGCCCTGGTGTGAGCAGAGCCCGTGCCCTGCTCTGGGGACATCCCAGAGCATGGCAGTGCCAGGGGACCCCCGTGTTGGGATTGGGGACCCCGGCTGCGCTGGCTGTGACCCACTGCGGGGTCCCGGTGCCATCGGCTGTGACAGGACCCTCCTGTCCCCCAGAGCGGCTGGTGCTGCAGGTGCCGGCGGGGCCGCTGCTGGAGGGGGACACGGTGACACTGCGCTGCCGGAGCCGGCGGGACAAAACGGTCACCGAGGTGCGGTTCTACCACGGGGAGAAGGATTTGGGGAAATCTCTGCGGAGATCCGAGCTGTCCCTGTCCCCCCTGAGGCTGCAGCACAGCGGCCAATACCGCTGCCAGATCCGGTGGATTTTCTGGCCCTCGTGGTCCCCAATGTGGGAGCAGTCGGATCCGGTGTCAGTGACAGTGCACGGTGAGCACCCCACAGCCGCCAGCCCGACACCCCCAGAGCCCCTCCCCAGGGCTCACAAATCCCCCTCCCCTGTCCTTGCCAGAGCCCTTGCCAGAGCTCTTCCCGGTGCCGGTGCTGGAGGCTCCGGCCGAGCTGATGGCGGGGTCCCCCCTGAACCTCAGCTGCCTCAGCAGCCGCAGCCCCCTGCGGCCCCTCACCCCCCTCGTGCACCGCTTCTACCGGGACGGGCGGCAGCTGGGGGGCCCGCAGGGGTCCCCGCAGCTGCTGCTGCCCGCCCTGGGGCTCTCCGGCTCGGGGAATTACAGCTGCGAGGTGCAGAGCCAGGGGGGGGCCGTGCGGAAGAGCAGCGCCCCGCTCCGCGTCACGGTGCTCGGTGAGTGCGGGGATGGGCGCGGGGAGCCCCCACAGCCTGCACGGGGACCCCTGCCCTGCCCGGGTCCCTTCTCCCGGCCCTTCCCGCACCTTCTTGTGTCCCCCAGCCCTGACTTGGTGTCCCCATCGCCCCCCGGATTCCTTTCTCGGGTTCCCCCATCCCCTCCCGCATCTCCTGCTCCGTTCCCGGGTCCCACCCCGTGTCGCGCAATCCCATCCCGGGTTCCCCCATCCCTCCACAGTAGCCTTGCCTGGCTTCCACTTCCCCTCCCCTCTCCTGCCCTGTCCCCTCCTCT